GGGGGCTAAGGGGAGGCAAGCCACCTAAATAGAGTTTTTAACACTATAACGTCAGGAATGTATGTTTGTGTTCCTGGCCATATAGTGTTCCTTTAAATTTGACCAAGATAATGTTTAGGAAATACTGATACAGACTGTAATAGAATGTGTTTGGAATTCTAACGCAATCCAAAGATACTGTAGGACAAAGTAGGGACTACTTTGAGAATTACAAAAATTGACAATAGGCAGTGCTGGCACAAGTGTTCATTCGTAGTTTTGCTCATGGTGAGAAGACATCTATGGAGCATCCATTCAGGAGTTGAAGAAGACCTCAAAGAAGAAGATGGTGGTGGCTAAGGTGAGAATTGTTGGGAATTCAAAATGAACTTAAAAATCTATGCCAAATTTATAAAAATTTGAAACATTCTGTAAGTCATTCCTGTTTTCTTTTTGGGTGTATTGGCCTTAAATTTACTTTGGATTCACATAACTTGTCTTTCTAAAAATAATAAAAATAGATGTGAGCCCATTATTAAACCTGCTTGCACTGTGTTCAGGGCTTTTGACCTGCTTTTGCTGTACCCATAATCATCCCGTTCCTAATTCGTGTCCCACCTGTGACCACCATTCAGTGGGAGGCGGGCATGGGAATTAATAAGAATTAATTTGGGTCAGCTTGTACATTATTGGGATTATTTATTTGATTATTTTTGGTTTGGAATACATATTTAAAAGATCTGAATTATAATAAAAAGTCATTTAATCAACATTTACGTGTTTGATTTGCCCCAAATTTGGCCTTTAGAAAATGACTCGGCAGAATCTTGGTCTTTGCAGCTTTGAATGTGTTCTCTTTTTTTAGAATTAACCTTTGCTTAATGTGAATGACACAATCAACCTGTTACATAATATCACAGAACATGTCGCTATTGCCCCTGAATAGGAAGCAGGCATTTCCGCTAATCTTATGCTGCATTCGAACCAAACACATGTTCGCCGTCTCATACAGATTGATACAATTTATGGCATCAGCTCTAAGGAGAACATGTTCCAGAAGCGGTGAAATTAGGTCATGTTTGTTTCCATTACAGCAAAATAGAAGAGGAAGCAGTTTTGGTAGAAATCATTCTTGGCTTCTGAGTTGAAAATATGTATTTAAATTAAGACTCATCAATAATAGACGGAACGCCCAGTTCAACAGTAAAAATTACATAACACTCTAGGAGCGAGGGAGTTTCGTGTTTAGCAAAGGCTTAATCTGAGACACTAGAGGTAGAAATATGAATTTGGAACAATTGCCATGTTCCTGTTTGCTCTGGTGCAGACGCAATGTGCACTTAACATAGGATTTAAGAATGTTTGCAAACTCTGATTCCCATTATGTGCCACCACCTGTGCTAATAGTCATCATTGGTCTATCTGTAAATTAATAACCCTAGTTGAGTTACCAAGTATTGACAGACCATGAGAAATATAGCAAGTTTTCTTGATTTTCTGATTATACTCTCACCAAACCCAGCCATCACTTTGTAATCTGATGGTAATATATATGGAATACAATAATGCCAGTTCCTTCACAAACAGCTTTAAAAAAATACAGTAAAATAAACATAATTTTTAAAGTCTCAATGATCTGGCATAGCATGTAGGAAACACGGTTAGAGGACCTCCATTACCACTACTTCTTTTAGAAGTGGTCATGGTGGTAGAAATGTGTATGCACAGGTGTCTCTGCTTGAAGTGTTGCACATACAGAGATATTTGCAGTTTTGCGTAGGAAGTTAGTTACACCCCCGGAACACTGTGTTCAGGCCTTCCTAATGTAAATTCTGTTTAAAAATTATGTTTGACGTCAGTGTGCAAAGTGCGCTGGCGACAGACTTTATCAGATTTTACACTTACAGCCCTTGCAGAGAGAGAGAATTTTAAATACCTCCCCTCCCTGGCTCAAAGCGTACGCATGCTCTCTGAGCTGGTGATAACTGTCAAATCAAAAGCATTTCTAAGAGAAGCATTTGACTGGACCACGGAGAGATAAAATGAAGGTATCATAAAAAAGGGTTTGAGTAATCCTTTAATGTGTAGGTAATTGTGAGAGTTCTTGAATTCTCATTTTAAAGGGAAAATCTGATCCTCTCCCTCGAATGATAGTTAATGTATGAAAGTATTGTAATTGTGAATTATATTTTCACGTTACCCAGTCATTTATCTGGAACAGGGCCGGACTGGGGAAAAAATTAGGCCTGGGAATTTTTCAATCAGAGCGGCCTCTGAAGGAGGGGGTGGGGCTAGAGACAAACATGCCCCCTCTCAAAATGAGCATGTTGGTTCAATGCGCAGGGCCCTGCTAAAGAGCTCTAGCATTAGAAAAAGGCCCTGTATTTGTTCTGCGCAGCGCAAGCAAATTTAATAACATGCTTGCGCTGTGTTTGCTTTTAAATTGTCTCTGGTGTCTCCACAAGTGGGATACCAGAGGACAAAAGGGCCAGGAAAGCGTATGGTGCATGTCTTTGGAGCCTGCTTGTGGGATTGCGTGTGTGTAGAGTGTGGTGTGGTTTTGTGTAAATAGGTCAATTTAATTTGTGTTTGTGGTGAAATATGTGTGTGTGTGTAGGAGACCTAGTGTGTAAAGGACTCAGAGTGTGTATAGGAGATTGTATGTGTGTGTGTTTGTGTGTAGAGGATTAAGAGTGCATATAGGTAAGGGATCTAGCATGTATCTGGAGCGTAATGTAGTGGTGCCGTGTGAGGGGTGCTGTAGTGTGTATATATATATATTTATATTTGGACGTATTGTATGTGTGAGGGGCGCAGTGTGTGTGTGTGAAGGGTGCAGTGTGTGTGTGTGTAAGAGGGGTGCTGTGTGTGAAGGTGTTTTTATCTGTCGTCAAATTCTAGGTTTCTAAAAAATTTTATCTGTTAACTCACTGAGGGTTATTTTAGTTATTATATATATGTGTGTGTGTGCTGTATGTGTGCTGTGTGAGTGAGGGTGCTGTCTCTCTGAGGGAGCAGTGTCTGTCTGAGTGAGCAGTGTGTGTCTGAGGGTGCTGTGTGTGTGTGTGTCTGAGGGTTCTGTGTGTGTGTGTGTGTGTGTGTCTGAGGGTGCTGTGTGTGTCTGGGTGCTGTGTGTGTATCTGGGTGCTGCGTGTGTATCTGGGTGCTGCGTGTGTCTGAGGGTGCTGCGTGTGTCTGGGTGCTGTGTGTGTCTGAGGGTGCTGTGTGTGTCTGGGTGTTGTGTGTGTCTGGGTGCTGCGTGTCTGAGGGTGCTGTGTGTGATGTGTCTGGGTGCTGTGTGTGTGCTGTGTGTGCCTGAGGGTGTTGTGTGTGTCTGGGTGCTGTGTGTGAGTGTGTGTGAGTGTGTGTGAGTGTTTATTTAAATTTAAATATATATTTTTTATATATAATAAAAAAAAAGTTATATCCCCTTCTCCCTTCTTACCTTGGGAGGGAGTGGGGAGCCGGGTATCCATGGAGGAGGGGGCCATGCTGCCTTCCCTGGTGGTCCAGTGGTGAGAGTGAACTCTAACCTGCAGGCTAGAGTTCACTCTCGCGAGAGCTGAGCGTTGCTGCGGTAACCGCGGCAACGCTCAGAATCCCGCGAGAGGAGCCGGCGGAGCTGCTGGCTAGAGCTCCGCCGGTCCTCTCCTGCCTCCCTACCTCACTCCCTCTCCTGCTGGCGGCCGCATCTCCCTGCCTCTGGGCCGGTGAGGGAGATGTTTGATCTCCCCACCGGCCCATGACGCACTATGCAGGGCCGGCGCTCAGATAGCGCTGGCCCTGAAGGGGCCGGACTGGGAGATCCTGTGATCTCCCTGCCGGCCTCGGCCCCACGGCCATCGCGGCCCACCGGGGCCAGTCCGGGCCTGATCTGGAATGATAAAAGGATTGTGGATGCAATGCTTGAAAATGTTTTGGGTGGCCTACGTGGATACTCCAAATTCCTTGAATTGAAAAAGAGAATAATATGACTGATATAACAATCGGAAAAGCAATGATACGAGTCGATAATATCTATGCCCCCTCCCGTGGCACTACAGTAACTTTTTTTTTTTCCTGTTAACTTTTAGCACATGCTGTTGCAGACTGCGGGCAATAAAATCTATGCAGTCACATTCTTACACCCACCGAACATGTGTTGGGAGTTTAAAGCGGGAACCATGTAGCTTAGTCACTGTCCACTTGGTTCCTGCTGAACATTCAAGTCCTTTAAGAGATCCCTTTCTACATACCTCAAAACAGAATGCACCTGTCATGGTTGATTATATATTTCCTACCTGTTCTATGTTAAATTTTGTATTTATTGTGTATTAATATTGTTTTTGTATTTTATTGTACCCTAATGTAACAATGCAATGATTTGTGGACCCAGGACATACTTGAAAAGAAGAGAAATCTCAATGTATCTTTCCTGGTAAAATATTTTATGAATAAATAAATAAATAAATCCCACCAGCGATGGTAAGCAGTCAGATTGGTGGGTCCAGTAGCATGTGATCTTACCTCTCGTTACTCAATTACAATTATTTAGATAGCACCAACATATTCCTCAGCACTGCACAATAGACAACAAGACAAACATTTCATTCTAACAAAACGTATGACATACGGGAACCGTAAGTGAAGAAGGGCCTGCCCAAACCAGCTTACCCACAGAAAAAACATGAACATTTGGTGGTGTACAGCCACTTTTGTGATAACTTAATCAGAAACTACTATATGAAGATGATTTACACACAAGAGAAAATAATTGACATTACAGGATTACTTACTAAAGTGAGAACTGTAGAGAATTCAAAGCAAATTCAAAGTTAATATAAAAATGTAGGCCAAAATAGCTGCATTAGAGACATTTTACAAATCAATGATGCTTTCAGTTTGTGCTTTTAACACTATAGAGTCAGAAATACATGTTTGTGTTCCTGACCCTATAGTGCTCCTTTCAGGTCAAAAAGAACAATCTAGTCCCTCTTGCCACCCCAAATATAGTAAAATCTTACTTTTAGTCAATTCTGCAGATGCTGTCTCTGCCCCTGATTTGCCTGCTTGGCTGACATCATCAGAAGTGATTCTTTGAGCCAATCACAACGCTTTCACATAGCTGAGCTTGTCAAGGTGATAGATCAGGGGCAGAGCCAGTACAAGCCAAACTGCCACAGGAAGCACCTCTAGTAGCCATCTGAGCAGTGGCCAGTGGAGGTATCACTAGGCTGTAATGATAACACTGCATTTTCTCTGAAAAGACAGTGTTTACTGCAAAAAGCCTGAAGGGAATTATTCACCAGAACAAATGCAATATCTTGAAGTTGTTCTGGTTACTATAGTGTCTCTTTAAATTTGAAGTTCACTTTGATTTTGAGGCATTTCACACTTTAGTGAATAACCCTGTTTATTTGTTTCTTTCATAATCAGCATCTCACAGGAAAGTAAAATAGGTATGAATTTTCCATTTTGAAGAGATTTGTTTATGTTATTACGCATAACTCTCTATTATTTCAGATATCTGCCCATATCTGCTGTTACTCTGTGTACTCTTTCACTGAATGTATTGTGGTCCATATTCCCCATCATTCCATCTGGGGAACAAGCATGTTGGGAAAAGATTCTTCACGGCTGTTGCAATGTCAGACGTTCTATAGCCTTGGTAACAGTCTGTGCTTCTCTCACTAGGAATCACAATCTTCTGATAAGCTTCCTAATGACGTTGACTGCATGACCAGTCTTTGACCCCTCGAGGAATGTGATCAGACTGTATTCCACTGTGATCACCCAGGGGTCAGGATATCCTGTGTGACAAGAAGAGGGTTACACACATACACCTTACACCAAAAAACTGTTAATTATTGGAAATAGAAAGTGGGAAATCACCTAAAAAGCGTTGTGGTTTTCAGAGCCCAGAATAAGTGATTTAATAGTCATTGTACATTTCGAAATAGAGATAAGAGATACCCCAGTGCCTAGATATGCTGTTTAATTCTACATTTCATGTTATACACTGATAGCCATGATATTTATTTACCCGATATGTTAAAAGACTTATATGTGGTATATGTGGTTTGCAGGATAGCAAGATATAGGTATGGTAGGTCTTTATAGTTGAGGGAGAAGCAGATCTATCACTTTTCACTATGTCATTCTTAATATTAAATATATAATCATTATGAAATACTACTCAAGACTGCGTTGCAGTAAGCACTACTTTATATTATGTTAAAGGCTGGGGATGACAAATGTTGATAAAAGAGCTCCACCATCGTGAACTTTGGTCCATTCCCAGCAGTTGTCTGAAATGAAGGCTGTGGGATTCAGGCTCTGTCTATGGAGGGTCTTGTGGGAGCCTCAATATACCTTTGTAGAGTGTTTTGCTCTTGAGGCTCTTGGCAACTGAAACACCAGGAGCCAAAGAGGACAGCAGGATGAAGATGGCAGCGGGACTGCCTGTACCTCGCTGTCACCCGATCTGACATTTTTCTGCAAAGACCCCTGAAAGTAACATACCCACTTTTAATGTTTCTATGTTTCTAAGATAATAAATATAATCAATTTATTCGAACTGCCTTTTTATGAATGTGTTCAGGTTTCATGTGTGAATAATTGCTCCCCTTTCTACATTGGCTTTGTTCCCTCTCCTATTTCTTTATCTCCAAATGCAACTTTTTCTTTTCCTCCCCCTCTTTGCCTCTGCAACCTCCAGCTCTAACTCTCTATTCATCCCTCAACCCTCACCATAGCTGTCTTTTCCCCACTGTTTTCTTATGTTCTGTCTTTGTCTATCTCTTTTCCCTTGTCTAGTTATTTGATTGCCCCTCGTAAAACTGACCACCATTACTAATATAAAACTCCTGATACTCTCTGCTCTACCACTTACAATGATTTTGTTCTATCCTTTCTATATTCATCCCTCTAAACCAATGATGGCGAACCTATGGCACGCGTGCAAAGGTGGCATGCCGGGCCCTTTCTGTGGGCACGCGGCCATAGGTTCGCCATCAATGCAGAGTAGGCACCTGTCTGCCCAAAACGGCAGACGCCTACTCTGCTTCCGGGTCGCCTGTCCTCCAGCACGATGCTGTGTGCATAACCACCCCCTGCCCCCACACAGCATCCCAACCCCCCCCACACACAGCACCCCTAACCCAACACACACACAGCACCCCTACCTCCCACAGAGTACCCCTACCCACACAGAGCACCCCTCCCACACACACAGCCCCCTACCCCAACATACACAGCCTCCTACCCCCCACAGAGTACCCCTACCCACACAGAGCACCCCTCCCACACACACACAGCACCCCACCCCCAACACACACACAGCACCCCTACCCCAACACACACAGCCTCCTACACCCCACAGAGTACCCCTACCCACACAGAGCATCCCTCCCACGCACACACAGCACCCCTCACACACAGCACCCCAACACATAGCACCCCTACCCCCACAACACACACACATCACCCCTACCCCCACAACACACACACACAGCACCCCTACCCCTCAACACACACACCTACCCCTTACCCTCACCCAGCACCCCTCACACATAACACCCCTCACACACACACACACAACACCCCTCACACACACACAACACCCCTCACACACACACACAACATCCCACACATACACACACACAACACCCCTCACACACACAACAACCCTCACACACAACACCCCTCACACACACACAGCACCCCTCACACACACAGCACCACACACACAAACACAGCACCACACACACTGTATTCAGCAGTCTGTGTGTGTGTATTCAGCAGTCTGTGTGTGTGTGTGTATTCATCAGTCTGTGTGTGTGTGTGTACAGCAGTCTGTGTGTGTGTGTGTGTGTGTGCAGCAGTCTGTGTGTGTGTGTGTACAGCAGTCTGTGTGTGTGTGTTCAACAGTCTGTGTGTGTGTACTCAGCAGTGTATGTGTATTCAGCAGTGTATGTGTATTCAGCGGACTGTGTGTATGTGTACTCAGCAGATTGTGTGTATGTACTCAGCAGTCTCTGTGTGTGTATTCAGCAGTCTGTCTGTATGTGAATTCAGCAGTCTGTGTGTGTATGTATTGCATTTGTTGGAGATACTAATAAATATAAGCTTAAATTGATCTATTTATATCCTTATTTAAAATTTGTATCATTGAACTCTCTGTTGTGTTTGTCTTTTAAAGCAAAAGTTGTTAATTAATTCGGACAACTGTACAAGTTGTTTTTTTCTAAATTTAAACATCAGTATTCAGGTTTAATTGCCATGTTGGCACTTTGAGGAAACAAAAGTTGGCATGTATTGCGGTTTGGGCACTCGGGCTCAAAAAGGTTCGCCATCACTGCTCTAAATACTTCCTCAGCACTCTCTGTTAAGAGCTGTCTCTCTCATGTATATTTCTCAGTACCTCTTTCTTCACTTCATTTTTATTCTTTTACACTTTAACCTTCTGTGTAATTCTATTCCTTCAACCATTCTCATCTCGGTATAACTTGCTATGTCAGACTTTCCACTTAATCCCTATGTTAAACCCTTTATTTTCTGTGTCAAATGGAAAAGGCCATACTCGCTCCATAAATACACAATTTAGCAGTTTGGTCACTGCACATTTGTTAAACTCTCCTTCACATTTCCACCTGGTTATCTAACATTATATATATTTGACGATGAAGTTTTATGTTTTTCTTTAAAAAACACACAAAGTGTTCTGTGCTTAATGCGCTTAGAGGTACAATAAGGTATAATATAAATTAGAGCAGCTTTCACGCACTTGTAGGGACTCTCCACCCTACTATAGCAGAATAACAAATAGTCACTATAGTCTTAGAATGAACGTGTAGTGACTGTTGTTAAGCACTAAAATAAATTGTAGGATCAATATTGAGCAAACTGTCCCAGTACATAGACAAATGCCTCCAACCAATCGTATGTACCTGTCAAAGTTACCTTAAAGACACCCTTAATATTCTACAAGTTCTTAATAATTGTAAGTGGGATAGTAAATGTTACTTAGTAACGGCTGACATAATTTCACTATATTCGATTATTTCCCATGAAAAGGGCTGCCAAGCCACGAGACACTTTTTAGAAAAATCGGTGAATATTTTAAGTCCTCAAATAGATGTTATCATAGAAGAGATACAGTGGATTTTAACAAATAATTACTTTTGGTTCGGAGATCAATTTTTTTTTACAAATCTGTGGTACGGTGATGGGAACGAGGTTCGCACCAAGCTATGCAAACCTGTTCATGGCACTGTAGAAATAGATATTTATTCATAGTGACCATAGATGGACAGCGAGTTTTGTGACCTATCGCCGATACATTCATGATATATTTTTTATATGGAAGGGAGACGAAGCATCTCTAATGACTTTTTTAACCTACCTGAATTCTAATGACTAGGGTATTACACTGTGACGGACTGCCTGTCACCCCGACTGGGTACCTCCATCAATCGCTGCATCCTAGTAATCCTTGAGTACCATATGCACCACACCGGACACCATAACGACTGTAAACCCCACAAACTGCCGTAGCTTAGTTGGGGTTCTGCTGTCCTTCACCCACCCTAGACCCAAGACCAGGATCCAGCTTCCAGTGGGTAGACCTGTCCTAGTCCAGAGAGCAAAGAAGGCTGCTCTTACAAGAGCAAGTGTTGTAATCCAAGGGAGTATAGTGATTATAGCAATCCCCAGAGTGAATATAGCTCTCCAATCCCCCATACATGAGCCTAGACTTCATGAAGGGTAAAATGAATCTCTTTGGCAGACACAACTGGCCTTATATGCAGGTCCCCACGCAAGGGGCACTCCCCCCTGGACCTGAGGGTAGACTACAGTAAAAATATACACAGGATTACATTGGCTCTGAGGTCCAGGACACTCCCATAGAAAATAGTTTAATCCCTCCCCTGTGCCTGGGAGATAATTGAGTCAGCACTCTATTCACCCCTTAAGGACCAAACTTCTGGAATAAAAGGGAATCATGACACGTCATACATGTCATGTGTCCTTAAGGGGTTAAATTCAATTATCTCCAGGCACAGAAAACATACATTTTTACAAAACCCCCAAAATACCCTAAAACACACAAAATCCCCACAAAAGTTAAAACCCCTGATAACCCCAATCTGGGTGACTAACATATTCAAAAATCATCCATATCGGTTCTTGGGTTCAGGAATTTCCTGGAGGAAATCATTTGACCAAGATCATAAATGGTCCCATGCCCAGTTCCAGAGAATCAGGGCTTGTGGTCGGTGTAGTTTGGTAGTTTAAGAACCAAACAAACTACCGAACAAAGGCAATGTTC